AGCCCAACATTTGTTCTTGATGCTTTTTTCCCCCACCCCAGAAGAAGAAGAACCAGAGCGTCTGCTGGTGTATACCAGCATAGCTCCAGTGACTTGATCGTCAGCTGAAAGTTGTTCTCCTTACTGAAAATTGGACTATGGAGGATTTTTTTGTGTGTGTTAGATTAGTGCTCCTCCAGTTTCATAGAGCTCTAACATGGCTAGAATTAATTGTTTTGCCTGAATTTAAAGGGGCAGGGTTTCAGCTGGAGTTGGTTGCTTTCTGTGAATTGACACTGATTTCAAATAAGAATATAGCCTCTGGCTTTAACTAGTTAAAACTTGTATGTCTTTTTTAATATAATTATCTTTGTGTTATGTGACTGCAATAATAGATTCAAAGCTCTGGATGCCTTCTGGTTTGGCCTTCTGGTGAAAGCTGCTTGGAGTAGACTCTTTTATGACCGAATCAGCTCTGGGCAAAAATGAATTTTGACTCAGCCTTCACATGAAAGGTTATAAATATCTCACAGTACAGCCATTACATCAGCTTCCTCAGGATTTCTTACAGATAATGTAAACAGTACAGGGCTTCTAAATTAAATCCTAACAGAATAATGAAATTTCGGTTAATCACCTTACTAAATACTCAGAGGGGATTATTCCAAGTCTGAATGATATGCTGTTTTAAGTAGGGCTCTGTGAAATTACAATAGCTGCAGAGCAGAAGTTATTGCCTCCACAGATGTGTGTTGCAAAAGCACTTGAACAGAGAATCCTAAGAGGTGGGACAGGTTATTACCTTGGTAAGCCAGTCACGTAGCCTCTGTGCTCCAAGGCAGGCTTGGTGAGACTGGGTGATGATCTACCTGTTAGACTTTCATTCAGGTGACTCCATGACCTCTCTAGGCAATCCATTCTAGTGACTGATTTCAAATCAGAGGAGGAGAGTGATTTTGTTAGTTAAAATTTATATTATCCATTATGATTATGAGGAAGAATTGACTCTTCAGCATCTTTTTAAGCATTCATAAACTATCATCTCTGCTTGATTGCTCTAGGCTCTTCTCCTACTTCACAGGCTGCGGTTTCTGGACCTCTTAGCCTCTCTAAGCTCTTTCCAGTTGATCTTTCTTGACACCTTCTCTGGAGGAGGTCTTGGCAAGCTTGAATAAAGCTGAAGGATTAATTTTATGATTTGTGGACATGGTTTTATTGCTGAACATTTTTTCAGTGATTATGTCAAGAGGAGTTATCCTGTCTTTTTGTTTGGGGGTGGGTTTTTTTGGTGCATTACAGAATCTTATCATAGAATCATAGAATAGTTTGGGTTGGAAGGCACCTCTAAAGGTCATCTAGTCCAACCCCCCTGCCGTGGGCAGGGACATCTTCAACTAGATCAGGTTGCTCAGAGCCCCGTCCAACCTGACCTTGAATGTTGCCAGGGATGGGGCATCCACCACCTCTCCGGGCAACCTGGGCCAGTGCTTCACCACCCTCAGCGTAAAACATTTCTTCCTTATATCTAGTCTAAATCTACCCCCCTTTAGTTTAAAGCCGTTCCCCCTTGTCCTGTCACAACAGGCCCTGCTAAAAAGT